GGTCTTGAACCCGAAGGGCAGCGTCGGGTTTACAGGTGTAATTGAATAGGAAGACGGGATGCGTGGCCGAGTCGCCCAGCGTGCACAAAGGCGGAGAGGCAGGGAAAGGTCACACTGGCTCCATCCAGTGGCTAGAGCTGGGAGTTTTGAAGGACGGCATACAAACAAGCTGAAGGATAAAAATAAACGGGGACCTAGGGCGCACACACCCCGGGGTGAAGGGAATGTGTCAAGCAGTGGCTGACGGGTTGCTTTCTCTGGCTGGGCAGGAACGAAATCCTTTCGTCGGAGGTGACCATTTTGCTGACCAAAAGGAGCCGGCCACACAAATAGCCGAAGCAAACTGGTGGAGCGCACGGCTGTTGCAAAGGCCCGGAAGTGGGACCCAATTCGGCGCGTTGGAGGAATGGAAACTGGCAGTGTGTTGGGAGCGTAGGAGGTGTGAGGGAGGGAGAAGTGGGTGGGGGGCCAGATGCCGTAGGGCCTCCTCTGCCAGGAACAGAGCTCATGCTTCACTCTAGACAGAATGGGAAGCCATAAGAGGGATAAGATTTTTTAAAGACCCATCAGAAGCAATCTCGCATTCTTGATTTTTGCGAGTCTTGCACCCACTAGAACATGAGCTTCACAGGGATTTGCTTAAGCATCTCCTGTATGACAGACAGTATTCTAGACACTGGAAATATAGCAAGGAAGAAGGCAGAACCAAACAAACATGATGGAGACAACCTGGTTTCAAACCCCCACCTACGAGCTTTGTAACTAGGGCGGAACTCTTCTCTCTGCTGTTTCCTCATCTATAAAATAGGGACGATGACAAATGAACTGATAATTGTTAAGACTTAGAACAATGCTTGGCACATAGCAAGTGCTACATGTTTTAGTATTATTATTTAAATAAAATGAGGCATCTGTATGTATTAAGCTTTTGTTAATAAAAAGGAAAAAATTCAAAGATAACCCGCAGGCTGCTTTGGAGAACAACAACAGAGGGCAAGGGCGAAAGCAGGTGAGAAACAGTGTGGCTTCTGCCAACAGGCCCAGCAAGTGATAATGGGGGCTCAGACCTAGCTCAGTATCTCCTGTGTGCCGCACACCGTCTGAAGCACATGATATGACCTGCCTCACTCAGTCCCCACTATCTGTGAACAGTCCCATGGCCTCCACTTGTCAGAGGAGGAAACTGAGTCCCAGAGAGACTAAGTAACTTGCCCAAGGTCACACAGTTTCCCAAGGTTGGATCCTTTACTTCTACCCAATAATATTCTTCTTTTTTTTTTTTTTTAAGATTTTATTTATTTATTTGAGAGAGAGAGAATGAGAGAAAGAGAGCACGAGAGGGAGGAGGGTCAGAGGGAGAAGCAGACTCCCCGCTGAGCAGGGAGCCCAATGCGGGACTCGATCCCGGGACTCCAGGATCATGGCCTGAGCCGAAGGCAGTCGCTTAACCAACTGAGCCACCCAGGCGCCCCCAATAATATTCTTCTTTTGTTTATTCACTATCCCACAGAACTTCCAGAAAGTATCTGTGGGTCCTCATCCCAGAACCATTAAAACTAGCCAAGGAATGTTTTTACCAGAAATCTAGATGGAGCTTCTTGGCAGACAAAGCAAAGAGAGAAAACAGAGGAATAGCTCCTATCTCTTGCTCCCTGAAGGATAAGCACTTCTTGGGTACAAAACATGTCCGTTCTCTCTGAATGCATTAGACAGTGGGAAATAGGAAGGGCTGGACCTGTAGGGCTCATCCCAGCCTGGCCTCTTCCATCTTAACAAGCATCGTTCCCCCACCACCTTGTACACACACACACACACACACACACACACACACACACACACACCTGTGTATAGAAAGAATCCTTTAGGGTTGGTGGGTGTTGGGGTAAAGTGATTGCCAGCTCCAGAAATGTCCCTGAGCCAGTGATACAGCCCCTCAAAAACTGTCCCAGGGTTCACAGTGCACATCCAGAAGCTCTGTGAGGCCAGCTTTTCCGCGCTGAGGAGCAAGGACTCCCACTATGTCCTGGGCATCCTCTGCCATCAGTCCCTGCAGGTGCAACCTCATACAACGGTCTAAGCCGCAGGTAGCTAGGTAAAGGGCTATGGGAAGCTGACCGTAGCTGGTACCACCACAGAGTCTCTACAGTGTGACACTCCCACCCACAGGTCCCCCACCTCACCAGTGAGTCATCACCACAATTGTTCTTAAGATACATTTCATCGGGCGCCTGGGTGACTCAGTCGGTTAAGCGACTGCCTTCAGCTCAGGTCGTGATCCTGGAGTCCCGGGATCGAGTCCCGCGTCGGGCTCCCTGCTCAGCGGGGAGTCTGCTTCTCCCTCTGACCCTCTCCCCTCCCGTGCTCTCTATCTCTCATTCTCTCTCTCTCAAATAAATAAATAAAATCTTTAAAAAAAAAAAAAGATACATTTCATCAAGGGGTATCTGGCTAGCCCAGTTGGTAGAGCATGTGACTCTTGATCTTAGGGCCAGGAGTTCAAGCCCCACACTGCGTGGAGAACTTACTTTAAAATAAAAGATACATTTCATCAAAACTATAGAAGTGTGGCCAATTGTGAGCAGTGATTTGGGACCATAAGGCAGCAGGTGAGTTTGTCAGAGCAAAAGCACACGAGCCACTTCTCTGGTGACCTTGAAGGTAGCATGATAGCCCTGAACTACCTGCTTCCAAGAGAGGAATCCACTTCCATTCTGGTATTTGTAGTATATACCATCACTGGTATATGAATCCTGAACAATATGTCAGAATTTACTGTCTTGGCCAATGCGAGTGTCACTAAATGGGAGACATACGGGACGGGCAGGGGTAAATAATGGTGAATGAAGGGCAGATTGGGAGTGAATGGGGGCAAGGAGAGACAGAGGGTGATGGGAAGGAGGTGAATGAACAGAGTGGAGTCAAAGGGGGTAGTGTGGAGCCGCACGAGGGAATGACCATGCATTCGATTTTGAATTAATTGGAGATTATGGATGAGACTGAGTAAATGATGGGAAAATGAGGCACGGGCTAAAGTGACCAAAAGTGAAAGTGGGAGCGGACTGAGTGAATGGAGCATTTCAAGGCGGTGAACATGAATGGAGTTGATAAAGCAGGACAGTGCAAGCTGGGTTTTTTTTGTTTTTGTTTTTTTAAAGATTTTATTTATTTATTTGACAGAGAGAGATAGCGAGAGCAGGAACACAAGCAGGGGGAGTGGGAGAGGGAGAAGCAGGCTTCCAGCGGAGCAGGGAGCCCGATGTGGGACTCGATCCCAGGAACCTGGGATCATGACCCGAGCCGAAGGCAGACGCTTAACGACTGAGCCACCCAGGCGCCCAGTGCAAGTTGTTTTGAGCACTAAGGACCAGAGTGTGAATAAACAATGGTTTATGAGTGAGAGAGGTGAATTTAGGGGGAGTGTGGGAGCGAATGGAGGTAATGTGGGGCACGGAGGGAAGAATGGGGAGTACAAGGGACAGAAGAAGAGGGACCGAAGACGTATATATGGTAGAATGTGAGTATGTGAATCAGGTCGAGTTCAAGTGGCGACACTCTGAGAGAGAAATGGGCTGGCTAGAGGTGAGTGAGGGGCAGACTGGGATTAGACAGGGGGGATGCGGGACTCCAGGCATGTCCAGGGATCCCAGTATCAATCAGCCCAGGTGAAGGAGCTGCCGCGTGAGCCTGTTGGGCAGAGTGAGAGGGAAGAGAAGCAAAGAGAAGAAGGTGAGTCACTGTGGGTATTGTGAGCCAAAGGGAAAGACGAAGGTCACATGGCCCCCAGTGAATAAAGTGAGGGAACATGGGGCTCAGTGAATTCAAGGCAGAGTGTGACTGAATGGACGGAAACTAGACATGAGATCAGGCACAGAACGGGGGTGGTGAGCGGCAACGGGGGTTACACAGGAAATGAGTTTCAATGAATGAGATCAAAGGGAACCCTCAGTTGGGTGCTTTCTTAGACCTATCTTCGCCAAGTAAGTGAACAAGATCATTTCGAGGAACGAGAGGCAGAGTCCTGGGATCGAGTCCCGCATCGGGCTCCCTGCTCCTGCTTCTCCCTCTGCCTCTCTCTCTGTCTCTTATAAATAAATAAATAAAATAAAATCTTAAAAAAAAAAAAAGAAGCGGAGGGGAAAAGTAGAAAACAAGCGTCTGAGAGTGAATGGAGGTGAAGGAATACGGCATGAGAGAATTGGGGCCATGTAAGGAGAGGGTTAAGGAGTTGTGCACTATGAGGCCCAGCGTGAACGCAGGGTGGTGGCCCAGAGGCAGTGTAGGCGAAGGGGGGGGCGGGGCTGAGAAGCTGGAATAAGAATGGAGGCGAAGCAGCAGTAGAGGGCACGCATCTCTGTGTCGTGCGTCGTGTATAGTAGGGAACGGAGGGCAGAGTGTGATTGAATGGGGTGAACATGGGCCAGATTCCAGGCAATTAGGGTGGAACTGTGCATAGTAAGTGAAGCGAAGGAGGTGCCAAGAATGGGTAAATGGAGGTAACGCGGGGCAGAAGGCGAGGGCATGGTGGCCATATTGTGCAGAGTGTGAGAAATCGAGGTGGGAGGAGGCACAATGTACTGAACAGAGCTGGCTGCTGAGCAGAGTGGGGGGAACGGAGGGGACGAGGGGCAGAGCGAGTGGAAATGGAGGGAACCAAGTGGTAGAGCGTGATTAAAAACAGTGGAGTGGCACCGTGTTAAGGAAAATGGGGGAATGTGGCTGATTGTGAGGCCCAGGGCCTGAGTCCTATCTCTGTGTCTCCAGCCCCTCTCTTCCTGCATCTCTTTCTGACATCTCAGGGTTTCTCCCTGGTTTTGCCTCCTCCCATCTTTGTGTACAGGTCAGTATCTTTCTTTTCCCTTGTGTGTCCGTCTCCAACAGCGGTGGCACTTGGAAAGACAGTGAGCCCTCTGGCTTCTGTGTTTCAGAATCTATTACATGGTATTTGCTCATAGAGCCCAGAGGTCCAGAATGCCCCTAGTTCTGAACAGGGCATTTGAGTCTGGAGCAAAGAGTTGGCCAGGAGGGCCTATGGGTGTTATAATGCAGACCTGGGTCACTGTGGCGGTGACTCTGGCCACACTGATGGTCGCCGCCGTGGATGCGAAGATCTATAAACGCTGTGAACTGGCAATGAAGCTGGAGAAGGCAGGCCTCAGTGGCTTTAAAGGCTACAGTGTTGGAGACTGTGAGACTCCAGCTGCCCCAAGTCCCACCCACACCCGGAGCTGCCCACCACACTCAGACCCAGGCCCCCTTTCTCATCTATCACCTCCCTAGGCCAGGGCATGATCCTCTCGGCCATCCCCTGGCTGACTGACTCTAATGTCCTTACCATCATTGCCTTCACAGCCATCACCCCCATGTCTACCATCAACACCATCACTACCATCAAAGTCATCACGAATACCATCACCCCTGCCATCCCTCATATCTCACCAGAATCACCAACATCAACACCACCACCAAACCAAGATCATCACCTCCACAACTGGGATGACAACGATCCCTATCCCCTCCCCTTATCCTACCATCCCCTAGTTGTGCCTACCTCCTACCTACCCCCTCCCTGCCCCCAGGGCTGTGCATGGCACACTATGAGAGTGGCTCTGACACCTTCTTTGTGGACCACAATCATGACGGCAGCACCGAATACGGCATTTTCCAGCTGAACTCCACCTGGTGGTGTAACGGTGGTATTACACCCACCCAGAACCTCTTGTCACATCAAGTGTCGAGGTGAGGCAGCACGGGAAACACCCTGAAGCCCTGCCTGGCCCCACTGCCCAACACACAGAGTTCAAGGTTGCCTAAGCTATAACCTCCAGTAAGAAGCAGAAAAATGACAAGGAAAAGAGCACATTTGCCTGGGCCGTCAGAGACACCATCCATCCTGTACCCTTACCGACTACGCTGAGATGTGGTCCAGGTCAGGAGGGCTCAGAAGTCCTACACCTCCCCGAGAATGGAGGCTGCAGTTTTCGGGGACTCAGAAAACCGGAAACTTACCTCCATGTGGAATGGAGGGGGAGATTGTCCTGATTTGGCGTTGAGGTTGTTCAGGCCCTGAGGGAAGAAACACATATCTGGCTATAGGAACAGAAATAAGGAGTGCAGAAAGGAAAGAGCTTTCCAGACAAGAGTGTGGTGGTATTGAGGACAAAATTTAATAGCGGTAGTTGTTCGGGGTTGGCCAAAATGGTGCTTGAGGTTGTCCAAGACAGACCAAAATGGGGACTGAGGTTATTAGGGTCCACGCCAAATGGAGGTTGAGGATGTCCAAGTCCTGCTACAGTAACAGAAGAGGTTACCCAGGATTGGCCAGCTTGAAGGTTGAGGTTGTCCAAGACTAGCCACCACAGAGGCTGAAGCTGTCTAGGACAGGGTAACATGAATAGTAAGATTTCTCAAGACTAGCTAAAATAAAGGTTAAGGTTGTTCACTTTGAGCCAACATGGAAGTTGAGGTAGTCCAGGATCAGCTATAATGGAAGTTGAGGTCCTTGAATCGTCAACATGGAGGTTGGAATTATTTGTAACTGGTCAAAATGGGAACTGAGGTTGCCCAGGACTGGTCAACATAGCAGTTGAGATCATTAACCTGTCAGAATGGCAGTGAAGGTTGCCCTGGTTGAGCAGTTGGGATCATCTAGAACCAGGCACCATGATGACTGAGGTTGAACGGAACTAACCAGCATGGAGATTGAGGTCATTTGTAACCAAAGCGGCAGCTGAGGTTATCCAAGACCTGACAACACAGTGTTTGAAGTCACCAAGACTGACCAACCTTGCAGCTGAGTAGCTTCCCAACCAGCCGACATGGTGGTTAAGGTGATGTCAGACCAGCTGCTGTTGCAGTTGAGATCATCCATAACCACACAAAATTACAATTGAAGTCATCCAGAACTGGCCAACATAGAGTTTGAGGTTGTTAGGACCAGGCAGTATGATGGTTGAGGATATTCATAACCAGGCAAAATGAATCAAGATCATCCAGGATCTGGGGGCACCTGGGTGGCTCAGTCATTAGTTGTCCGCCTTCAGCTCAGGTCATGATCCCAGGGTCCTGGGATTGAGCCCCACATTGGGCTCCCTGCTCCGCGGGAAGCCTGCTTCTCCCTCTCCCACTCCCCCCGCTTGTGTTCCCTCTCTCACTGTGTCTCTGTCAAATAAATAAATAAAATCTTTAAAAAAAAAAAAAAAAGATCATCCAGGATCTGTCAACGTGAATTAAGGTTCTACAGAACCAGCCAACATGGCGGTTGAGGTAATTCATAACCAGCTGACAAGTGAATCAAGGTCATCTAGAATCAGTCAATGTAGTGGTTGAAGTTATTCAGGCTCCAAGGAATCCAGAACCCCTGGGCCTACCATACACCACCACCCTTGTCCCCAATGCACCAGATCACTATGTCCCTTTCTTCCCTCCCCCCGTAGACCTGCTCAGCCACCATATTCTGGATGATACCTTGTGTGCCAGGCAGGCGGTGTCCTCAGAGAATGGTATGACTTCTTGGTAAGTTCATAGGGGCAGCTTGGACCTTGGGCAGCAGGGATAATGGCACTGCCACCTTATCAGCCTGTCCACTTCACCCTCCCTTCTCTCCCTTCATTTCCCAGGGATTCATGGACCCGGCACTGTTCTGGCCATGATTTATCTGAATGGCTCAAGGGATGCAATATGCATGCCAAAGCTAACTCAAAGAAAACTAGTAATTCATGATTCAGTTTCCCAGAAGTAGAAATTTTCTTTTCCTTTCTTTTCTTTCTTCTGTGGGTTTAATAAAGAACGGTATCTATAAACAATGCAGGAGTCCTCTGATGCCTCTCTTCATTTTTCAGAAGCAGACTCCCCGCTGAGCAAGGAGCCCAATATGGGACTCGATTCCAGGACCCTGGGATCATGACCTGAGCCGAAGCCAGACGCTTCACCCATGAGCAACCCAGGTGTCCCTAAATAAAAAATTTAAAAAAAAAACTTTTCCCATAGGAGTCCTATATATAGAGTGTGTGTAATGCAGAAACCACCCAACCACCCATGTGCTCTCAGGAAGTCGGTTTACAAATGCATTATTTTCATGACCTCACTCCTTAGTCACATTTTTCTAATGGATGTAGCTTGCCTCAGGTGTCTATTTTGGTTTTTCTGGTGCCTCTCCAGCTGGTCAACTTGGCAGACTTCTAGAAAGACGAATAATAAACCATTCCCTGTGAATATACCTTTTGTTAGAAGCAGACCTCTGATAAGGTTGACTTATTTTAAGTCTAGATACCAGTCAGAAAGAAATTCAAATTACATGTCTCCTATACCCTGAGCTTGAGGGAAAGAAAGCACAAATTGCTCTGACAGAAATTGGAACAAGAAAGTAACGATAAATATCAGTGACTTTGATTAAGAAAAATACCTTAAAATGGAGGAGAGCAGGTGAAAATAGGTTTAGAGAGCCGTGAGTAGGGTAAAGGGATTTTGAAAAGGTAGTAGATCCAGGATTTGGAGGAAGGGGACTCAAACAGAAGAGCCTTTCAGGAAGGCTGAAAATGGGGCGCCTGGGTGGCTCAGTCGATTAGGCATCCGACTCTTGGTTTCAGCTCAGGTCATGATCTCAGGGTCATGAGATCGAGCCCCATGTCAGGCTCCACACTGAGCATGGAGCCTACTTGGGATTCTCTCCCTTCTCCCTCTGCCCCGCCCCGACATGCTCGTGCACGCATGCGCGCTCGCTCTCTCTTGCTCTCTCGCTCTCTTAAAAAAAAAAAAAAAGGAAGGCTGAAAACAACTGAGGTGACCAAGAGAATAAGTAGAAGGATGAGGCAGATTGTAGTCCAGTGCCTTACCACTTCATTCCAAGATTACCAGGAGACAGCTCACAAAACTAACAATTTGGAGTTAGCAAAAAAAAAAAAAGTCACCTCCTTGAGGAAGATATTTCTCAGCTTTTAAAGACGTCCAGCCCTCACTCACCCACTGGGGCCTTACTCATTATCTCCATCTGTCCGTTTCTTCTTTACCTGTGTAACTCGAACTTGGAATTTCTCTATGATCTGGAGTCCTCTCTTCCCAAACAGGTGATCACATCTGGTTTGGTAACAGGATACCCTGTAATGGAAATGATAGATGATTTAGGCACATCCGTGTGGGTTTCACAGCCTCGAGGTAATTAGGAAGGTACATTTTAATAAGTACAAATTTCACACGAGAGATGAAAATACAAACACCTTATTCAGTCTAAGAGGGATGAGGAATCTTGAATCCCTGGAACTTGAGGTCAAAGTATTGAAACACTTCAGAGGTGGAAAGTCATCCTATCTGGTACACCGTGAATTACTCAGGGAAGCTGTGCTCACCCACAGAGACCAAATGGCTATAGCTCTCTAGCATCACAGCTCTGTAAAGTGTCCTCTCAGAAGATTCCAGATGATTCCACTCCTGGATGAAGTCCACAGCCACATCCTCAAATGACACTGATCCCTGTAATTGCATCCTTCTATTCAATCAGTTTGATAGAAATTTAAATGGTGATATATTTTAAGATGAAGGGAATATTCTTCAGAGAGAGGCTACTGTTTAATAATTTCCAAAAAGTTTTCTCTGAGATATTTGCAATAGCTATCTCTAGCAAAGGACTTTTATTCTATAGAAGCCATAAAGAACTCCTAAAAATCAAGATAAATGTAGACAATCTCATAGAAAAACTAGAAAAAGATTTGAACAGATACTTCACAAAAGATGATATCCAATTGGCCAGTAAACATATGAAAGGGTGCTCGAGGGGCGCCTGGGTGGCTCAGTCGGTGAAGTGTCTGCTTTTGGCTCAGGTCATGATCCCGAGGTCCTGGGATCGAGCCCCGCGTCGGGCTCCCTGCTCAGCGGGGAGCCTGCTTCTCCCTCTCCCTCTGCCTGCCGCTCCCCCTGCTTGTGCTCTCTCTCTCTCAAATAAATAAAAAATCTAAAAAAAAAAAAAAAGGGTGCTCGACATCTTTAGTCACCAGGGAAATACGAATTTAAACCACAACGAAATATAACTATATACCAACAGAATGGCTAAAATTAAGACCAAAAATCCAAATGTTGGCAAGGATGTGGAACAACTGGAACTCTCATATATTGCTGGTGAGAGTAAACTATAAAATAGTACAGCCACCATGGAAAACATTTTAGCTGAATCTATTAATGCTAAGCGTACACCTAACCTAGGACCCAGCAACCCCACTCCTATGTATATATCTAATGGAAATGCACACACATCAAGACATGTACAAGAATATCCATAGAAGTATTATTTGAAATTGCCAAAATGAAGACATCCACCAGCCGCAGAATGAATAAACAACTGTGACGTATTTATACAACAGAATAGTACACAGTAACGGAAAGAACTAATGATACACAAAATGACAAGAATGGATCTCAAAAACATTATGATAACTGAAAGAAGCCAGACACAAAAGAATAACAAGATTCTATCCATGTGACATTCAAGAACAGGCAAAAATAATCTATGCTTATAGAAATCAGAAAGCATTACCCATGAGTCAGGGGATAGTGACGGGAAGTGGCATGAAGGAGGCTTCTGGGTGACTTCTCACTTTCTGTTTCTTGATTCAGGTACTGGTTACACAGGCGTTTCCAATTTGTAATTCATGAAAGTGTACACATTATACACTTTTCTCTGTATGCTATGCTTCAACAAAATGTCAACCCCCAAATTCTTATCTAAGTAGTATTCCCATAATATTTCCATAAAAAACAGTAAGACAAAGATATAAGAACAAAAAAAAAAAAAAGGATTTATGAACCTACAGGCAAGGGGCACCTGGCTGATTCAGTCAGTAGAACATGACAGTCAATCTCAGTGTTGTGAGTTCGAGCCCCACCTTCGGTATAGAAATTAAATAATATATTAAAAAAAAAAAGAACCCACATGAAAAAGAGCAATGTACATAAAAGAACAATTCACCAAAAGAGGAAAGAATATGAAAAGATACTCAACCTCATGGCTAACTAAATAAACACGAACAAAAGAAATGAGATATTTTAACTATCAAATGGCAAGGATTAAAAACATGACAAAAGGATTAGAAAGGGTATTTTCATTTATAGATAGAGCTAGAGTATTATGCTAAATGAAGTAAGGCAGTCAGAGAAAGACAAATACTACGTGATCTCATTCATAGGTGGAATTTAAGAAACAAAACAAATGAACAAAGGGAAAAAAAAGAGACAAACAAACCAAGAAACAGACTCTTAAGAATAGAGAACAAACTGATGGTCACCAGAGGGGAGAGAAGTGGGAGAATGGGGGAAGTAGGGAATGGGGATTATAGAGTACACATCTCATGATGAAAAAAAGAAAAAAGGGGCGCCTGGGTGGCTCAGTCAGTTAAGCGTCTACCTTCAGCTCAGGTCAGATCTCAGGGTCCTGGGATAGAGCCCCGCGTTGGGCTCCGGCTCAGCGGCGAGTCTGCTTCTCCTTATCCCTCTGCCCCTCCCCCCGGCGCGCGCTCTCTCGCTCGCTCTCTCTCTCTCATGCTGTCTATTTCTCACTCTCTCTCAAATAAATAAGATCTCTCAAATAAATAAATAAGAAAAAAGAAAACAGAAAGTTTTAAAAATAAAGTATTGAAAACAAAGAAAAGAATGAAGAGAATTTTTTAAATAAATAAATAAATGAAACATCTCTTTCTACCAAAAATAAATAAATTAAATAAAAATATGACAGAAGGATTAGGAAGGGTATCTTCATTCATTAGTAGGAGTACAAACTTGCACAAACTTTTCAAAAGGCAATTTGGCAAGGTCTGTGAAGGTTCAAAACGTGCCCAACTTTTGAACCAGAAATTGTAGAAATGCTCAGCACGGTACAAGATAGAGGAGAAGAAAGATTACTGCCATGCTATGCATCGTGGCACATGCATACAAGACAAAAATAAGCAGCTGTTAAAGATATTGGTCTAGGGGCGCCTGGGTGGCTCAGTCGTTAAGCGTCTGCCTTCGGCTCAGGTCATGATCCCAGGGTCCAGGGATCGAGCCCTGCATCGGGCTCCCTGCTCAGCGGAAGCCTGCTTCTCCCTCTCCCACTCCCCCTGCTTGTGTTCCCTCTCTCACTGTGTCTCTCTCTGTCAAATAAATAAATAAAATCTTAAAAAAAAAAGATATTGGTCTTGACAGTGAAATATCTTCTATCGACAAGTATTCACGGAGTGGGGACTGTCCCAGCTATGCCAGTAACCAGCTCTGCAACTCCACGCCACTTGCTTACCCACTCTGGGACTCAGTTTCTACATTAGTAGAATGCGGATATTAAAGGTACCCACTTCTCAGGGTGGTTGTGAGGACTAAGGTGGTCACGTGTATGAAGTACTGAGTAGGGGGCGCCTGGGTGGCTCAGTCAGTTGTTAAGCATCATGTGGGCTCAGGTCATGATCCCAGGGTCCTGGGATCGAGCCCTGCTCAGGGGGGAGCCTGCTTCTCCTTCTCCCTCTGCCTGCCGCTCCCCCTGCTTGTGTGCTCTCTCTCTCTCTCTCTCTGTTAAATAAATAAATAAAATCTTAAAAAATAAAATAAAGTACTTAGTAGAGTGCCCGGTGCAGTGCAGGCTCATTACGTGTTAGCTTCTGTTCCTGCCACTAACATCATCATCATCCCCATCCTCTGTATTATCATTATCATTACTCCTACTACCTTCATCAAATGTAAAGAGAAAACAGGGAATTGCCAAAAGTTTGTATATTATGAGCATATGTTAGCAAA